ATGCCTGATGTATAACAAGTTTTTCTTTTGCAAAGCTCAGCGAAGTCAGGTGTCCCCAATCAGCACTGTCCAAGAGGTACCAGGAAGAACCCTGGTATTCAGTCCTTGGGCTCCTCGAGATCCACAGGCCCACTGATCCAGGTCAACAGCTAGTTAGTAGTTCCTTTCACAGAGCTGTATCTTCCTTCTAAATGATTTCCAGATGTGCCAGCCAATTTGTAACTTCTGAGCTATGCTGATAACTTACTGCCATTCAGATTCTTTTTACTTCAACTTAGACTGACCAATAGCAGTACAAGCCTTGCATTCTTCTGATAAGGTTAATTTTAACTATGCCACAGGGCCCACCATCACTACTTCTATAAGGCTTTGCTAAATTTACCAGGCCTCATACTATATACAAGGCCTCATTACATCTTAGACTTTAATTAGGCTCTTGACAACAACACATCGCTTAATATCTGAACAAATGACAGAAAAACACTTGGTTTAATCTTCATAGAGCCTTCAGCAAGCACTTTTATCACAGAGACATAATTTCAGCTGTCACAGTGTGGGTGACCCATCTTGAAGTCACTGTTCTGAGTCTGGCATCAAAGAATGAGAAAAGGTTGGCATCTTAAAAAGGACCATAGGAAGGGTTCTGTTCGAAATCTACTCTCGTATGCCCAATGCTTCCCTTGCGTGCCCTGCTCCCCGCCCTCTACTATGAAGAATATAATTGTCTTTTATTCTTAAAACTGTTAGATTTGCCATATGATTGACATTGCTGTTAATGCATCAGCATTTCCTGCCTCGGAGGTCAAAATTTTTGTTAGTTATTAACTGAGAAATATAGCATTCCCCATGGATGTAAAGTGCAGGACATTGTCAAATCTCAGATACTGACACTTTGAAGTTGCTTTTTGTTTAGTTCTCTTTCAAAAAACAGAGAGGAGAATGACAGGAATAGAGTACAAGGCAGAGGAGAAAACAAAATTTATATTCTGAATTCCGTTATTTTTACATGTATGAAATATTTGCTCAGGAAACAATTGTCAAACATGTAGAAATTAGTTTTAAATAGAGATTAAACATCTAGATTCCTTAAGTACCACAAAATTAGTTTTATTTAAAATAACTCTGATAAGACACTTTCCACTTCCCATTTGGAGCTTGCAGGACTATGACCAGCATTTACTCAACATACATTAGAATACATGCACTTCTGATTCTAGGTTGCCATCTCTCACTTTAGTGCCTCATACATACCTGTTTCCAGGGCACTGAATACTTCACTGAATCTCCCATCTAAATTAATGTCCTCAATTAATCCATTATTTTTCCTCCTTTCCTACCACCTCATCTTCATACTCTCCCAAGTTCTCACATTCCATTAAAGGAAAAATCTCTCCCATAACTTTTTAAATGATGGAGGGTCAAGATTGTCCAATTCCTTTCCTGCACTAGTGAGCAATAGGCCTACATTTCCAGTGCCAGAAATGTATTGATCACCAGGTTCAAAAAGTTCAGGCATACATGAATGAGAAGAACACCAAACTTCAGTCCTGGAGCAGTGTGTAACCTCTGCACATCCTGTCTGGCTTTAATTGGCTCCTAAATTGAGGTACTGTTTCACAATTCCCAGCCTGTATAAGGAGGCCTCTCCAAACTATAGCCTCTATCACCACATCTTTCCTCTAACCAATAAAAACAAATTAGCATAAGAATCCATTAGCACCCATCTACAGGAGGGGCTACTATCACTTCACTCTGGAGTATGTCTTTATCACCGGAGGATTCACTTTTTCACTGACTTACAAAGTACTAGGATCCACATTTTCTAATGTGTTTTTTGGTTGGAAGCATTTCTCCAAGTCTTGTTAGACTTGATTCCTTATACTGGAATCCAATTCACTTGTACTTTTGGCAGCTTTGCTTTTTCATATAGCACACCAATTCATTAGCTACAGATCACTGTGGCTAATTTACTCTTTCTGCATGATAGTATTTGCATTTTATGTCCGTAGGTACACATCTTCCCATAAGGACTTGATTGCTTCTTCTGTTCTGGAAGAATTGTTTTTTTCACTAAAAAATTGTCCATATTTGGGCCGAGACAGCCAAGAGGATCATCAGAAGTTATGAATGTCAGGTCTTCTTGTACTGCAAGCCCACACTTCCACTAGATTCAGTTTATCACAAGCTTCCAGACCCAAAATTAATTTCACTTCTTAAGGTTCTACAATGAATGGGAGTTTGCATACTTTATTTTTATATTGGATGCCTGTAATACATTGTCTCTCACTGGTATATTTGTTTCTGAATGGCCAATCATTTTGATGCTTTTAAGACTCATTTTTTATCTCAATTTTAATTTTCTATATTCATGATTAGGTAAACTATTAACCAAAGCACCAACGTCCACTTTCAATTAAACCATTTTTTCTTGCACTTCCACTGGCAAAATCCACTCCCTTTCATTGATTTTGCTTGATTCACCTAATCTATAAAAATGCCTCTTTCAGTGTAGGCTCAGTTGTGTACACTTGAGGTTTGTGTTTGGGATCTGCAGAACCTGGTAAAATGGTTTCTCATTACATTTAAAACAGAGCTTTTCAAATGCAGCACAATATTTGGGGTCATGTTGTCTTACACATTTGCGGCATGGCTGCCTGTAAGCACTCCCTCCCTTACAGGGATCATGACCAATGGAAAAGCTTACCTGTGAGGAGGCTTTTTCTGGCCACATTCATTCATGCCTATTGCACAGACACCCCCTTGTAGCATATTCAGTTCTGCAGCCTTGTCTGTCACGGTTTCTGCTGTCCTGCATATTTAAATAGTCTTTTCTAGGGGCAACTCTCCCTCACACAACATCCTTTCTTGTAATGGAGTATCTACAAGGCCACTTATAATCATCTGTTTAACGGAGTTTCTGTCAAGTTCCCAGAAGCACAGTCCTTACTCAGTCTCTTTAGTTCAATAACATACTTTGTTCTGTTGTTTGTCTTCCTGTAAAAAAATCTGCGTTTTTTAAGGGTCTCTCTTTTTTGGTCTTGCAGTACTCCTCAAAGGTGGACAGTATTACATTTAATTGCATATTTTGGCCTTCTTCAAAGGGTAAGTTATAACGAACAGCCAGAGTGTGGTTGCTAGGTTCCACTCAAACCTCTGACCAAATGCCTCCAGTTTTCTGTGATACTGCTTGGTATCAGAAAGGAAGGTGGAGGTTGCAAAATGTCCATGTCCAACTGTCCTGTTATGACATCTTTTCATTTTTTCAGTTTGCAACTCAAATTCTTCCAAGTTCCAAGTAGAGTGATAGTTTTATAAGATCTCACTCTAAGAAATCCTTGCCTTTTGCATAGTTTCTGGACTATTCAAGTTGTTTCATATTCATCACCTGCTACCATGCATGATCACCAGGTTCAATAAATACAGGCATACATGAATGACAATAACACTTTATATGACAGACCAGTGTGTAACCTCTACGGAATCTGTCTGGCTCTAAGGCTGGTGTCAAGTTCACTTAGTTACAGTATGCAACAAGGCACTGGTCCTGGACCCTGCTACAACTTGTGAATGCCAGCCAGACAGGAGCCCAGCTAAAGACTTACCCAGGGAACTGGGCGGTGCAGTGTGTATGCTGAAGACTCGGTGGCGGGTGCACAGATATAGGCTTTGGCTGGAGGAGGCAACAGATGACACGTGACCACGTGCAGAGGGAGCCTGCTCCCACTGGCCCCAAGGAATTTTGCTGACTGCTCAAAGGGGCTACCAGCATATCTGATACCCGTGGAGAAGGGAATACATGGGGAGCTGAGAAAGCTGTGCGAGCTGTGTGGAGACACGGAGCTGGAGCCAGAACTGGAGCTGAAGCTGAGCTGGAGCCAGAAAGGAAGCTGGGGTCGAGATGGAGTCATGGAGAGTAGAGCCAGTTAGCATAGAGATGGCTAGAGATCTCTTGACTGCAGTAGAATGTCAGTCTGAAGATGACTGACAAGGGAAAACAAAATGAGATGACAGCTGATTGAGTTAAGGGGCCAGGACTCATAAACCATTAATTGATCAAGTTAATTACATGAACGTGGTGTTGAGAAATGGTTCAAAAAGACAATGGACCATTACCTGGATAATTAAGTTTATTTTCTACTGGCAGGGGTGACTCTAACCAGCTAGACTGGAGAAGTGAAAGGATAAATAAGTTGATTTTTACCAGCAGTGGTGACATTAACCAACTAGGCCAGGAAAGTACAAATGCAAGAATAAATAAAGGTGATTTTTCCAGTGGTGGTGACGGTGACCAGCTGAGCAGGAAAAGTGACAGTACCTGAATAATTAGGCTTCACTGATGGTGACAGAGGGGGAACCTACCTCAGGAATTTGCTGCAAGTAAATTTGAGGCAGAGGATTATCTGGGACAGGTTGGCCAGGAAACCAGATGGAGCACATTTCATTGAGGATTCAAATTTATGAGGTCTGACTTTAAGACTTAATTCCAATGGGGTATGGCATAGAGCAAAGTGTAGGGGACGGAGAAGCCCCGTGAAGAAAATCTCTGCCATCTAACTATAATGCTAAGTTGTTGGTAATACTTCACCTCCTTTTTTTTTTTTTTATTGAAACACCAAGGCAGGGCAGGGGAGAAAAGAGGGGACTTGAGGCAGTAGTGTGGGCAGGTGAGACATCTCTAGAAGCACCCACTTATACAGTACTACCTCTAAGTTAGGAGAGAGAAATAGACACCACACACTTTTTAAAACTGAAGAATTCAGTCATTCAAACATTATAATCTATTTTCTAAAGAGATATAACTCTACTGACTTCATGGGATACTAAATAAGGCAGAACTTGGCCCTTTCTTGCTACATTTTGTGTCCCCTGTAGTAGCTGAGTGCTAGACAATCTGTAGTTAACACAAAGTATGCATCTCATTTTCCCTGACAAAAACAACAGGGTTTTTTCCACTGCTGAAATATTCGAGACAGAGCAAAGCAAGTACATTTGTTAGTGTATTTTTTTTTATTTTTAGTTACTTTTTCCACATAACTTTATGTAAGCTACAAAAGTTGTGAAATGCAGAAATGGTAATAAAACTGCAAACTTAAAACAGTTTAGATAAGAAACATGTCATGTCTCCCTAACAATGACCATTAAAAATGAACCACATTTTGATGAATTTGTTTAATAAACACACCACATACTTTTTAAAAATAAATAAAGAACAACATTAGGGAAACTAATACCATCAACAGCATGAAGTACTTAGTAATTTGTTTTTTGAAGACAGAAATGAGATCTCTAGGCACAGTTTTAGGCATTATAGAGGACACAGAGGCAATAGGTTAGTGTGCACTGTTCTGTACAAAAATACAGTCTGAATAAATTACATTGCTAGCCATAAGATTAGACTTCACTTACCAATCAGTTCATTGCATGTTTAATAATATACAATTACATGCTAATCCATATATATCTTTTTTTTTTCAAACACATAGGTCTCTCTATATTTATGTCTTTAAAATTTACATGTTGAACTTACAAAAGCTAAATGTAGTTGTGCAAGAAATCCAAAAGAGGTGCTAGGTACTTTTCAGCACTGGACGGCATACCTTAAGCTTAAAAAATACAAAGAACTAGCCCTGCTTGCAAGTCTGCTATATATATATTTATATATATTTGGAAGATAAACAATGGGCTTGTTTTGTGAAAAATTATCCTGCTAGTGAGATAAAGCCAAATACAACTGAAGTGGTGACGGCATGATACAAGAATAATATATAAAAATGAAAGAGCTATTTTATATACACTCTGAAACACAAGAGTGGTTTATTTTGTGGGTAGAAAAATAGTTCAGTTCTACACTGCATTTACTTTTAATTCAGCACTGAAACATGTCAGAGTTGCCAATCTTGACTGGGGAGGGGCGGGGGAGAAGCAGCAGTAGCATAAGCTAAATTAAGGTACCTATATCCATTATCTTAAGCACCTAAATATGAAGGACCTGACCTTAAGAGGTGAGCAGATACCATATATTCCATGGAAGATATAGGTGTAAGAATCTCTGGAAATCTGAGGGCATTTTTACATGTGTTGTGGGATGTGTCGCTGGGTGCATAATTAGCAAGCTGTGCTAATTAAAAGTGCCCATGTGTCACATGTATCAGCGTTGCTGCACATTCCCACACTGAAAAAATAGTGGTGGGACACTTTGAACTAAAGCTCGTTGAATATGTTTTATTTCAAAGAGCAGCGCTGCTATTTTTTCAGCATGGAAATGCACAGTGACATTGATACGCACGATGCAGCATGTCAATTTCTGTGCTCCAGCAGACTTGATTAATCGAGTCTGCTCTGACGCGCTAGATTTCTAGTGCATTGGAGCAGTTTCCACACACGTGTATAGGAACCCTGAGTGTTTTATGGAAATAGGAACCTGACTTTAGATGGCCAAAATTTTTAGAAAAAAATAAAAAGAATTGCTGAATGGTGCTTTTATGTAAGAATTCCATGTTTTCCAATGTATATATGCAATTTATGCTTCTGTGTCTTAGTCTGCTGCATGTTTTTCTCTCTAGCTCTATAGAGAGATGGGATTTGTTAAGATTAAGAACGATGATGCTGATCTATCATTTTATGCATTTTCTTCTCAGACTAAACAGTGTCAGGTAATTGTCATCACCCAAAGTATCACTCCTCTAGAAAAGAACAGAGAGCTTTCACAATAGGCTTTTTAAAAATTAGGCTAAATCCTGTTGCAACCCATTATCTTCCTCTCATGCACATTAAAAGCAGTTACACTGTAGTTTAGAAAGTCACAGTTAACTACACTCCAGGTCTCTGCTTCAAGTGTGTTTCAGAAAAGTATAGTTAGAAACATGTTCAAATACCTGCAAGACAAACAGATGCTCTTCTCTTTTTCCTCATGTCCCCATAGCTTTTGTCCTTCATCACATTACGTGAAACCACCATTTTTCTTGGTCATCCTAGTCTAGCTAACACTACTGGTCCAGGGAACAGTGCCTATACTGAACACTCTACTGCAGTACTACATACTGTACTACACATTTTACTGCAGTAAGGCCCAGAATTCAGAACTAGTTCTTGTCTGACAGCAGTGAGTTAATAAACACCATTCTAAAGGCAGAATTGTGGCTATATACCCCTTACACAAGTGGGATGTATAAGCTCCTTTCTTAGAACCTCCTTCCTCTCTGTGAACCAAGGTGTGTCCATTTAGCACTTTATATGTGGTCCTAATTTTGCAATCACTTTTTGGAACTAGCTATATAACAGCAATACAGGAGAAGATTATTTTTCCCCCAAAAAGGACCAAATAGGTTATATTTTAAATTTTCCCATTAACAAAAATAATTCTTTCTAAACTTGTATATTATAACTGTATCAGGTGTATAAAAATATGCTCACCATTAATTGAAAGGACCCAAATAAGCAATTTTTAATCAAAAATAAAAGTTATTCAGGGTAAGTGAATTTAAAAGTTTTCCCAATTTAACTTAGGTCTCGTTTCATTTGGAGTGTCTATATGTTTTATGTGGGAAACCATCTTTAGAAGCATATTTTTTTGACAATTTATTATAAACTCAAACGGGGAAAAAACAAATGTAACTTATAAAGCTGATATACCATACTGATAACAGTTCTTGTGCATGACTTCGTCTCAACTATATTTTTGTTGACTGAAGACACTCATGAGTTTAATGGATTTTTTAAAATGGCAATTCTGTTTAAAACTTCGTTTTAAACCAGCATTAAAAAATGTAATAATTACCAAATTATGACATCATCAGCTAATCATTTCATTCTGTTCAAACTTAACTTTATATGAACTTTTACACATTTTCCATCAAAACTGAGCTTCTATAAGGACATACAGAGAGAACAGAGCATTTGACATTATATTTATTTTGTAATACCAACCCAAATTAGAGATACTAGTCCAATACTCTGGAGAATGTGCATAAAGTTAGTGCTTTAACCGCTGCACCATAGCTAATATTACTTTTAGATGTAATATATGTGTCTTCCTCTGTGTGAGGATTCATTACCTATATATTTTTTATATATTTATTTGTACTAACAAATACCTTCTATAAAAATACTTACTTGGACTCATTATGCATTTTTTACTGTGATGTTTGAAATTAAAATGATATTTAAGACAAATGTAGCTTCTGCATGCATTTTATATACCTCAAGGAAATGAGGCCCTCTTTTACCTTCGTTTAGCCCCTCCCTTCCTCCCTCCACAATGCTCAGAGCTGAGACAACTTCCAGCCACATAATTAGAAACATGTGTTTTTAGGTTCTGTCTTCCTTCAGTGATTTGCCACCCATTGTTGGGAAAATATGGATCACCAATGCATAAACTCCTCCTTTTTTCCAGAGACTTCTGAATGCAGATATTAGGAAAGTCACTAACCAGTTCCACTCACAGTCTCTAACATACATCCACTTGCAACTGATTCCCCAAAAGATTTTTCAAATACGTGACCAGAGGCTAGCTCATTGTATAAAATGGTACTGCCTGCTCAAAACAACCTTTGAATTCTCCATGATATAAGAAAACTTCTAAATAGAGCTCATGCCAGCTGCTCCCCTGCAGGCAATGGCAGATATGGGCATTTTCATTCCAACTACTTTTCTCATAATGATTTGTCATGTAGATCCTTTGCTTGTTGTCAAGAAGAATGAAGTCAATGTATCAACAGTTTGCAGCATTTGTCTATGCAAGATCAGCCGTTTTTAATCTGCCGTTTTATGTGTGTTCTCTTGAACGTAAAAGCTGGTTACAGCGTTCACAGCCAAAAGGCAAAGGCTACTTTATCCACAGAGCAGACTGTCTGGTGCTCCACAAGTGTTCTAAAAAAACTGAGAGTTAGAAAAGATGGAGTAATCCTTTTTGTTATTTTTGTTATTTTTTTTCTTCTTTTGCTTTGTTAAACTAAACAATTCTAGTAGTAGTCTTCGTAGTTCTTAGGGTTCAGGCAATAAAGGATGGCACCCCCAAATGAAAATATAGTTGCACCCCAAGCCAGGCCATAGCCCCAGTTGAACTCATGGTATATTTTCAAGCTGACCGTCTCGATGAACTTGATTGGATAAAGGACTAGGCTGCACACCTGAAGAACAACTGAAATAAAAATTAGCCAAAGGTCAGAAAAGAATGGGTTTTTTGCTCTATTACATAAAACAAGGCAAACGCTCCATTATCAAATTTCACATTTTGCTGCAATTTTTTATTTATAGGTATTGTGCTATTTGAATAGAAACAATATGTAAGCTCTCTCCGCTATCTATAGAGAGTATAGCAGTTGCGATACATTCTGCTGGATATGAACAAATGTTACGTCTACTCTATAATAAAGTGAGACACTCTAGATCCCCAGATAATGAATACAACCAATCTCTTCCCATTTTTTGTTCTCCCTTTTTTTAGTCTGAAGTTGGAATTCTTTTTGAGACCAGAACTAAAATGACTAATCTTATAGATATTATAAATGTGTCATAGGGGAGAAAAAGAATAAAGAAACAAGAAGAAACATAACTCACAATCAAAGAAACCATTTATTTTAGATGAGTAGTAATTCATTGTATTAGGTGTTATTTATTAATGTCTAATGGAATTCTTAAGGAATTATGAATTACATGCATTTTATCACCTATTGTAATTAGAATTAATCATATAATTACACAGAGCTCCAGAGGAATTCATGAAATTTAGTTAACTACTAGTAAAGTAGAACTCAAGGGTGGGTGGAGTACAATATCCTGCCCTGGCTGAAAACTAATGAAACAGAATAAATTCACAGCAGCAAAAAACCCAGAAAACCATTTCTTTGTATGATGATGATGACATTTCCCAGAGAGAGAGAGAGAGAGAGAGAGATTGAGAGGAGATTTTATGCAGCCTGATGTATGTATGTTCTAAACACATTTGCAACAGAATTTAATAAACCTGATAAATATAGCATTGTATGTCAACTACCAATACGATGCATGTGCACTGTGAATGGAGGGAGAACCCACGCTCATAAGGATCTGTTCTCCCTTAAACACAGGCACACATCTACCATTAATTTAACTGGAATAAACAGTTACTGAACTCAATACAAAGATAACTGGATGGAATGTAATGGCCTGTGACATACAGGAGGCCAGGCAAGATGATATAACGGTCCCTTAGGTCTTGGGCTTCATGGACTACATGTACACAATGTGTGATCATCTGGCAGCACAGGAAAATAAATTCCAGCCTTTTCGCATCCCAGAGACATGGCACGGACCTTTTCCAAAGGTCCTTCTTGGCCTTAAAACTCAAATATTAAAGCATGTGATTAACTTTGCAGGCACAAAGAGTCCCTTGAATTCAGTGGGTTGTTCACATCCAAAGCACATATTTAAATATAGGCAGGATAGGTGTGTCCACCGCTGGAAGTGCACTACCACATAGATTTTAACCAAACAGGAAGTCACTTTTTAAAAAGCAAACAAGCTATTAGATGTTTTTAAATGCCCAGGGCCAAACTCATAATTATACTAAAAGAGCTCTGAATTATAGAATTATCTTTGAAATTACGCAAGAAATGATAGCACAATAAAATATTACAGTTACTATCATACTGCTTACACATTTATGGTACACACAAATTTTCACTTGCCTTTTTATTTTACTTTACAAACTACTAAGGGTTAAATACTAATGAAAGATGCCAGTTTGCCATTTTAGTTAAAGACTTAGCCCTTTACTTAATTGCTATTCCAAAAGTATAGTGCAAGATTTTCAGTACTGCAGACCTAGTACTGTGAAACAAACTTATTGTAAGATGGGTTTTCACTTCTATTCAATCTTTGGCTTTTCACTCAAGGCTGCCAATGTGGATAGCAGTTTTTATAAAACAGACATGTCCGTCGTCAGTTGTTCTGAGCTGCTCCCAAATCAGAGGATCTTTGCACAAATACAGTGTAGATTCAAGAGACAGATTGGATCACTGGTCTAAAGCAGTGATCTAGAAATGAAAGGAACACAGTACTTCTTAAACCAAGAAGATTCTCAGCAAGAAGTTGCTCCAGCTGAGTTACAACCATACTTTCACACCAGTTCAACTGAAGTCAATGGTAGTATATGGTGTGAGCTATGTTGTCACAATAAAGGCCTAAGCTTTGCATGGAATTAAAAATATTTTTCATGTTTTATGTTTTCTATTCCTGGGCTTCATTCCCATCCCTTGTTTATTTTAAACTGATGTAACTCCAGCTAATTGTGAGAACAGAAAATCAAGCTCTATAGCTATGATTTAAAAAAAAAAAAGGAGGATAAATCCAAAAAGTACTGAGCACCAAGCAGCTCCCAGACAGACTTTGGCTGTCACAACTTGTGTTTTCAAGTGACTGTTTTCGAACCACACATTCCTGATGTAGACCAGGAATATCAAACTCATTCAGCCCATGGGCCATACAAGGGACATGGGGTCAGACTGACCCCCATATGCAGCGCACATCCTAAACTTCCTCCGTGCACTGCATGCAGCATGCATGCCAGCTCCAGCCCCATGTGCTACATGCAGTGGCCACCAACCCTGGCACACAGAGTTGGTCCACTGTGGTTAGGTACAGATATTAAAAAAGCCTGAGCCTGAATCGTTGCAGGTTAGTCTAACCTGGCTAGGCTGAACCAGTTTGTAACCACACAGAGATTCCCTTTGGACTGAGGAAATGCAGGCACATGCCTACAGTGGCTCAGGATATAAGTCAGGGGGCGCTAGAACCACCCTCCCTTACCTTCCATAGTGCTGAGCTGAGGGGGGCATGGGCAGGCCCCACAGGATGCTCTGATTAGGGAGGGGTCCCCCCCCCCCCCCCAGGGGGGGGCCAGCAGGGAATTGATAACAGAGCATTGAGTTAGACAGCAGAGAGTCACACAGGAAGTTGTTAGCATTTAGCACCCCAACAACAAAGCAAAAGGATCTCTCATTAGTTCAACCTCTTCTTAAACAACTTTTTCCAAAGAAGGAAGAGAAGGACATTACCAGCTACCTGTTGATTAGCCCCCAAAAGCTCTAAGCAAATACTGTCCTATCTGCCTTTGTCTTGTCTGCCTTACACAGACACTTCTCAGCATTAGCTAGCATACCACATGCTGGCTATGGTCCGTGCTGTGGGAGAAGAGAGGGAAAAATCCCTGCTCGAGCAAGGTGGGTGGGGAGCAAGGGGAAGAGCCAGGTAGACACTGCTGTGCCTGCAGTCTCTGCCGGAGCTCCAGCCAGGGAGTAGAGGGGCAGCTCTGGACCAGAGAGCCTTGTCCAGGGCTGCAAAGCATCTGGAATGCTGGGGGACTCTGGTTTAGCTTAAAACATGAAGGAGTCTGGGACAGACATTGTGCACAGAATGTCTGCTGCACATGGGGTTGCGGCTGGTGTGTACCACCTGTGGCATTTCTTGGTTTCTGCTACTTGATTTGAGGATCCCTGCAACATCTCTCCCCTCAGCAGGGAGCGGTGTCTGGACTGCAGGTTGTAGCAGCTCCCGCTGCCCAGTGCCCCTCACACCACCCAACAAATGCAGCCCTTCCCTGGGCCCAACCTGGCACCAGGGCTTCTGGTGTGCTGTAACAGTCACCAGCTCCCTCTACCCAGTGCTCACTCTGGCACACTGAGCCTGCCCCTCCCTGGGTGCCTTCTCACTGATGGAGCAAACCAGGGCAGTCTACCCCTGGTCTGTGTCCCGCTCCCCTCCTGTGCACATCCAAGCCATGCAGGAGCTTGCAGAAGGTTCTTCCCAGGCTCTGAGTCTCCTGACAGGCAGCTCCTCTTTTGTGCCTGCCCCGGCAGGGCTCCAAAGGGGGACAAGAGGAAGAAAGGATACTGTGTTTCTCTCCGGTGCAGCCTCTAGCTACCACTTCTGCTGATCTCCGATACGGGCTTTCTGAGGGGCAGCCGTGGTGAGGTCCTTTTCCTGGCCTCCAGCCTGTCTCTCTTCTCCTCTCTCTTCCTTTTATTCTCCCTCCTGAGAAAAACTGCTCCCCCTTTTTAAACAAGCCCTCTCAGCCACTTCCACGCTGGGACTCTTCCCAGGCTTTTGCTAATGTTCCTCTCATGCAAAACCCCTGCTGGGGTTACATCACCCCTCCCACTTCAAAGAGGGCTGCCTCAAAAGCAGCTTCACTCACCCTTAGGGCAAATGATATCCCTACTGAGACAAACCCTCTCTCTCCTCACACTTTGTCCCTCTGCAAGGCAGCCATTCCTATCCCTTCAGGCGAGTACAATTTTAATGCTGCTACACTTAGCATTTTGTCTTCTAGCCCACAATGCACTCTGCAACTGCAGGAAGGGCAGGAGAGTAAATTTTGACCAAGGACAATAGGATAAGTTCATACTCTTAGGGTAAGGATATTTTCATGCTGATTGAGAGCATTATTATTCAGAAAAAACATGTAGGTATGCCTGTAGCTGCTGAATCCCTGCCTAAGTCCTAGCAAAATCAATGGATTGTTCCAAAGAAAGATGGACTTAAAAACATGCTTTAGCACTTTCCTGAACTGAGGCCTCAGGACTTCTATGCCGAGTCATCAGGAGGTACTTTTATCAAGTCTCTTCTGAAATGCTAACACACAAATTCAGTATACTACAGAGAAATCAATGCATCAAATTCACAAAGAAGAAGAGGTGGTCGGATCCTTTTGGAATAGAAACCTGCAGTTAAAAAGGCTATGTACCAACTGCCTTTTAAAAAATATTAGTTATCACTATTCCTATTAATGGCCTAGCTGCACAGAAACAACAGAATTGCAAGTGTAGATTAGCCTTTGGCTTCAAACAACTATATTGATTCTGTACTGCATTCTATTTCATTCTGCAGCTGATTTACACCCATACACCCATTACATCTACATGCCCCTCACTGTTGTTATTACCTGTGAAGCTATGTGGATGCTGGAAAAGTGGCAGCTGGAAAAGTTAAGTTAAAAAAACCTGAAGCGTAAGCCAGTAGCACCTGTAAGGTAGAGTGACAGGGGCAACTGCCCTGGGTACCAACTGGGGTGTCGTTAAAACAGCTTTTGCCATGGCCCTGGAACTGCGATCATGACAGCAACAGCACCCAGAAGTTGCTGTTGCCACTCAGTGTGCCAGTTACCCTGAGCACCCTGCCACATTCTTATACTGCTGGTGTAAGCAGTAAGCAAGTCCAGAGATGACTGGGCACATTGAAACCAAATGCATATTACTACAGAAAAATCCCTTGCAGCTGAAATTAAAAGAGGCTCAGTTTTATGTGGCCTTATTTATAGGACTAAATATGCTGCAGTTCTGGAACCACCAATTCTTTCAGTAGCCAAATAAAAGACAGTTTTTTAAAAGAAATTCTAACTACTAAAAAAGGCTAATCCCATGTTACAAACTGCAATATTCACTCCAAATCCATCCCACAGTGCAGGGCTCATTTTCATGAAGAATGCTACTGCACTTACAAGTCTTTAAAACAGCATGTATTTATTTATTTCAAGGTGCTCTGAACAGCACCTTAAAGAAAATTCAAGTCATGGCCTTAAAAAGGTATCAGATAAAATATGGAGCCTCTGCTTCACATACCAACAGTATAAAAGTCATCTGTTCCCAGATTCTCAAGCTTTGTGAAAGTCACCTCACTTCCAGCTGAAGAATGTGGACATCATTTGCCAAACACTGAGTGAATAGTAGGACATGCTACTTATGCAGTAATGCAAAAGCATGAGATCTAACCTTGGGATTGGAAGATATATCTAGGTGCTCCCTATGAATGTACATATGGGAATCAGGAATCATCTGAAAGGAAAGGAGCCCCCCGCCCCCCGATCTGTGACTACAGAATTAGTGCTGGAATGGCATTTGAACTGCTTGTTCGCTAGGAAAGGTGATGGAATGATGGTTGGATGAAATCCTGCCTCTCCAACAGCTACTAGTGTCTGGAGAGAACCCTACTGCCTGGAGAAGTCTTCTCCTTTTTACTAGTAAGTGAGAATCTAGAAACAGGAGCTACCTGGCAAGAAAGTCCCCACCACAAACTGATTTTAAAGGTAAACAAAACATAAAACTGGAATATGCCCCATCATGAAAGCCCCTTTGGAAAGACACTTAAAACATTTCAGTTTTGGGGAATTCTGATATGTAATGCAAATCATGGATTACAGACCAAATGAACAAGATTTAGACTGGCTGTGGAAAAAGGATCTATATATACAAGTCAACAGATCTAGGGAGTGGCTTCCCAAATTTATGGAAAAAACAAGTTTGTGTTTGTAATATTAATTCTATGCAGTTGTTCTTCCACTTACTCAACTACTTAATTCTGCATACACATTTTAAATGATCCATCTGCCAGTCTACTTACTGGCTTACCCCTTATTCACCTATTCGCAAAAACTAACTTGTCCATCTTCTTCCTTAGCCTGCAAATACTCTTCCCCCTTAACTCTTTCCACATTTGCCATGTAAGCATTAAATTGAGATAAAAAAACAGTTAAATGTAGCCAACCAAATAAACACCTTAAACAACTGATCAGTATCTAAAGTCTCTACAGCCCCCACCCTCACTTATTTTATAGCTCCTACCACAATTGTCATCCATTTCCCTACACCTGTCAGTTGTGCTAGGTACCTTGTATTTTAAGTAGCTCTCTTCACTGGAAACATGTTTAGGATTAAATTCCTAAGCATATTCACACAGAAACTGCCATAATATCAACAGACTCTTGGTGCTGTGGCTGTCTAACCACAAAGATATTCTGAAACCACATAAAAATCTAAATCAAGGAATATCTGCATGGAGGGCAAACTGTTCCCTAATGTAGCCTAGAGCCCACCTGCAGCATCACAGTGCTCTCAGGTGATGTCAAGCCTCCACCCACCTCCAATGACAGCTGAAACCAGAGCAACAATCCTGAAGAGGAAACTATGAAAATGTCAACATGAAATCACAAAGCATAAAATTTGTCAGATAATGATGTGACATAAGGCAGCTCTGCTCAGCTTCATCATATTCCTCCCTCCAACACATTCTGGACCACAGCACTTTAACACCCAAACCTATACCCAATACATAAGTTAAAGGAAATAGGCAGATCTCTCTCAAATGGTAGATAACTAATATAGGAATCTTATTAATGGAGATTATCATTAACAGCAAAATTGTTTTACTACACAAAGAAAACTCAATTAATTCCCAATTAAATATATTGAGTTCTGTCTCTCTAAAGAGAAAACATGTCTTTTTAAGCTGTTAATTTAATAATATATTAATTAAGCTATAAGACATGACCAGGAGTATATTTCTAAGCAGTTAATGCAAACTGTTATGAAGTATGGAGTCAAAGGGCAAATGAATAACTACTAATGAAGGTCAATAATCCCATTCCCCTAAATTTAATTGCTAGGCATAATTTTGTAATGTTCAATCTTCTTAAAAGAAGAAAAGGATTAGTTTATTTGTCTTGGGCATGTATGTAATATGCAGCTCATCAAGACCCAATTCTACTGAAGAATTCTGAACCCACTTTGTCATCTCTCTTTAAAAAAAAAACTGAGCTAGAGTGCATTATTAATATTACTTGCATGTATACATGCCTCTCTCTAGCTCTGAACTACAGTTCAACAATTTTCAAGCAAACAGCAGGGGGCAGCAGGATCCTTCCTCAGATCTTTGTTTCAGTTCGAAATACCCTTCAAAATCTGAGGACCTATCTTTTCATATTGTTGTAAATGGCTTTTTAAAATCCATCCAACAGACTAGATGGTGCTGTCAATTTCTTCATTATGGGCTATGAGACAGGCTTATTCTACTGGTTCCAACACAGATATGACTGACAGAATGAAGGGAAGCCAAGGTTGGTAGATCTCAGGGGGAGAAAAATATCCTTTACTAGCTAAGATGAAAACACCAGAATGCATAAAACGAGGGATGATTCGGTATGGCAATTACGTACTGCATTAGAGCATTTTTTTGGCCTGTTTGTCTTCAAGGGTCTTTCTTAAAGTCTCCCTGTACTCTGCATAAACTGCTCCATTTTGGTACTTTGAAAATCAAAGAGGGGCTTTACAGTGTGACAGTTGTTAAATTAATAACTAAGAGTGAACCTGACACAATGAAATTAATTCCTCCTGTGGCACAGGAACAGATATAAACACCTTTCAATTTAATCCTATTTATTTTCATACTTATGGCTTCAAGGGTTCACACTTGGGAATTAATTTTCCTATTTTTGAATTTTAAAATGAAGGACATTAAAACTTCAGACAGGGCTTCAAAAATATTAAGGGGGTGGGAGCAATCAGGCAACATAATATCACGGACTCCAAAAGCTGATGCTTTCAACATCATCCCCTCTAGCCCCTGCTACATCACATGCTTTATAAACAATATTTGTTTGCATTAGATTTAAAAGTGGTATCAGCGCACTGTAAAAATGATTAATGCCTTGCAAAAATAATACGTAATACAATTTAGCATAAGACAACGCAAATATCTCTGAATTATTAGGCAACCAACTCACAGCGCTCTTCTGTAAGAAAAAGCAGCTGGCCTTAGGAAATTTTCAAACTGTTTGGGTAATATATTTACCTGCTGCAAATAGCATGACTGCCACTGGTCTATAGAAGCGCCTCCGAGATCCTACGCAGATAGAGATCAATCCAACCAGGAAAGCGATGAGAATGATGGCAGCACCACCCAAAAGCAAAGCAAGAGTAGCTATCTGCCAGTCTAGAAAGATAAGACATTAAAGAAATGCATTTCAGTTAAAAATGACCAACCATTTGCCCTCTAGAAGAAGAGGAGGAATAAGAAGAATACAGGGCTTATACTAAGCCCTGGGTAAACATGTAATATTTTGACTTAGGAATGAGTGCAAATCCTTCCTGTGACATCTTTTCAAGGTTCAGTTAATTTTATTGGGAATTTTGCCTTAGGAAGATTGCTTAAGCTTGGTCCAAATAAGGAAGAGGATTTAAGGTTAGGCCAGAATTAGCTGATCTATGTTATCTAACACCCTTTCTAGTACTAACCGTTCGCTAGAGTAATCACAAACTTTCCCTTCACTTTAGCTTGAAGTAGTCAAGGGTGAGCTCAGCATGAAGTCTCACAAAGACTGATCATTCAGGAACCATAACCACACATGCAGGGTCTTGAGGAAAAAAAATTATACATTTAGGCATCTGAACATAAACCCCAAAGAAACAAGGAAGATACTAAAAGTAAAAATTATTTTGTACAAAAATTTTACTCAATGAGGGTTGAGCAAAATGCATGACCAGCTGAGCTGGAAAAATTAAGGATTTGGAAAAATAAACCAGCATGGGGCCCTTAAAAGAACTGAACCCTTTGGTGCTGCCAAAGGGTGTCCTCTGGCATTGCCCTATGACAGGGACAGACATGAGGAAAGGGAGGCTTTATTAGTACTGTCTCTATTTTCTTTTCTTTTCTTTTTAAACCGAGCAATGGGTTTTAATATATGTGGGGTGGGGGTAGAATGAGTGGGTTTTGGGGAAAGGGAGGCAAAGCAAAGGTGGGGACATGAAAACTCCTCGGGGTTTGAGGCAGAGAGCTGGAAGGGAGGGGAGGGAAATGGTTGCAGAGGGTGGGGTGAGGGAGAGGGAATGTCTATTTTCTTGTAATGAAAGTAGATTGGAAAGATAGGTGGGGTGGGGGGAGCCAGGCCGTGATCAGATGTAAGGGAGCAGAAGAGAGTGGATTGCTTTTCAGTCTGGAGGTTTTGGGCGGGTATTTTGTTGCATTTTTTTTATTTTAAGATTTGACTCTGTTTCTATACATTGTTGGATTCTATTTTAAGCTGTCTTGAGCCTTCTTTTTTTAAAGAAGGGCAGCATAAAAATCAAATCAATAAAGAAATAATAACCCTGACTCTTCCAAGGGATGTAGGAATGACCCACTCTCACTTACCCTGGCCAAATTCCTAATGAATCAATGGGAGCTTTGCCTATGTACCCCTTCAGATTTGGCCCAGCATGTAACTGATGAGTCGCCAGCAACATTATAACAGTCAGGAATCAGGCAAGGTAAAAATCCATCTGTAAGCAGATCGCCAGGAAGGGCCATTGCACCATGTAAGTTCTAAGCTGAAGGTTTAAGTAGGATTTGAGTGATGCAGAAATCTGGTGATGACTCCTCTGCACAGGAGCAGATTTCACACCTAACCACTTTGCCATGTGGATCGGGTGGATCCAGAGAAGGTGCAAAGGCACGGCTACTCCCACCTTTTCTGACCACGCCACAGAAGCAGCTGACAGCAAATTTGGTTTTAAGTTTCCTAATTCTACCACTCCTTTCCCCACTACAAGAGGACATGCAGGCATGTCCTCCTGCAGTAAGCCTGCATGCAGGCTTGCTGGAATGGTCAAGAGTGGCTCTGGCTTCCCCCTGCCCTTGGGTCAATGGGGACAGCCGCAGCAGCGGATAGGTTCCCCCTCCCTCCCTGGTCACCCCAGCTGCCAATCTAGGAGCAGAAAGGGGGAACCTGGAAATGGGGATCAGAGCCACCAGCCTGAAGCCTGGTCCCCAAACAACCCAGCTGGAGCAGGTAGGAGTGGGTCTGGAGCTTCCCTCACCCCCAAGACAGTGCGGACAGTGGCAGCAGCAGGCAGGAGTGGGGGAGGAAGGGGGGAGGAAGGATGCGATTCTGAGCATGGAGGGGAGGAGGGGGAAGATTTTTATCTGCTTTGGGGACTTAAAGTCCGTGACTGCTTCTCCTGTGGCATGGTCTACGCACCCTTGGTGGGGGACAAGGGGAGAAAGGCTGGGAACAGGGGGTACAAACACCTATGCAGCCCTGGTTGCTGCTCCGTCACTCCACTTTGCAAAATCCTGGATCCACTTCTCATGTGGATCAAGAAATAGAATCCCAGCATCCTTTCCATCACTCAGCACAAAGAGGGATAATGAACACAGATTCCTGCAAGGAATTAGTGGGAGAGAAGGGAGAAAGCACAGATGAGCTATGCATCCTTCTGATATGACTTTGTCCAAGGTGCATTTTGTAAATAAGTTCAAAACGGATTTGGGAGAGAGAGTGCACATAAGCACAAGCAAGCATGTATGCACAAAATAGTGTATCTGAGATTTAGCACATCTAGGTTCCAATAATGACTGTTAGAATACATACAGCATGGCTTTTTTGGGACTGGTATGACTAAATGTCATTTATGAATCACTGAATGAAAGATGGAAAATAAAAAGGTTACTGAGGAGAGATTGAAAATGCGTCTCTAAATGAAAAAAAAAACATTTTTCTTGTAAAACATTTCTCCATGCATATGCTCTACTGTCATACTACTAAAATGTTAATGAACACATCAGTTTTATTACAAAGAAAAAAATACTAAAACTTTCAAGCTTTGTTTACTAGGTATTGTCTAAATGGACAGACACTGGAGTTGGGAACAACTTAATCCTCAACCCTCTTAGCCTATCTCAGTATGCAGTTTAAAAAGTCATTTATTTTATATGTCTCATTGATATACTAAAAGCAAAATGGAAAGAACCTCAGTTACATTACAGAAGTGTTGCAAAGACTGACTAATTAATGTTGATGAACCCTGAAAAATTTAAGCAATGATTAACATTGGTTAGTACACTTCCTATGCAAATTATGAAATGCCCTGTGCAACTAACAACAAATACACACACTTGAAAAAGATGGCTTTCCCAACAGCTTGGAACCACATAAAAGAAAACTCTCCACTTAGAAGTTGCACAGGTACAAAGAGAAGACATGTAAAATTGTCTCACCCAGAGGCCAAACCCATAAAAGACTGCAAGTGTGAATCAAACTGTCACATGGGAGAAGCAGTTGAATGAAGAGTTTAAATGCCAGTACAAGTAATAGGAGATTACACACAACAATCTCCAGGCTGATCAGAAGCCAACAGCTCTAAATAAAAGGTGAATGACACTGGAGTAGCAGGACGATAAAAAAATTAAGCATGCTTTTGCTTTTCTAATAGATGATAAACAGGTAATAGATAAGGCAGGAAAGCAATTAATCGTGCTATAGTTAAGGCACAAAGAGATGCAAGTGTGGGCTAATATTTTAATCATTAGCAGTCACATCTATAGATTTTGCAAAGGTTAAAAAAATATATCTATTACTTTATTATTATATGCATGTAGGTTATAAAAGGACAAATCAGTGTTGGAAGACAGCCACTCTCTGGAGTTCTATTTAAGTGGAATGAATTCCTAGGACCTAAGTGTCCAAGATTATGGTTCTGACAATAAATTCAGAACAGTAAAAGCCCAGTTTCTGTCTATTTATTACCAAAGGGTGTGTCTACATGAGATGCTTTACTGAGTGATAGAGCAAATTACTGAATAGTAAGCATCTGTGTCTAAGTACTGCAGACCCTTACTGCGCAGCAATTTGCTTTACTAGGCAGTTATTTTGCTATTTGCATTTGCAAGTAGCTAGTAATTACTGTGCAGTAAGGCACACATAGATGGCTGTCTGACAGCAAATTTGCTCCCAGCCAGCCAGGCATCAGGGGTTAGGAGGTTGCTCCCTGCCTCCAGGGGCTGCCTGCTACCTGGGTGGGCACCGCCAACAGATCCTAGTTGGGGACAGTATCCTCCTCCCCAGCAGCAGTGAACTCCTAGGCCCTGCTCCTCAATTGCAGAGCGGAACTAGGGCAGGGAGCTCCCTACCAAGGGAGAGTTTCCCATCCAGCCTGGAGCTGTGGCTGAGACCTGCCCCTGATCAGGACAGTTCTTGACCAGCCCCAGGCTATGCGGGGAAGTCTGCATGTGCAGCCTGGACCTGGCCAGGGACTGAGCAGCCTGAGCTGATCAGCCCAGGGCTGATCAGGAACTGTCCTGGTTAGGGGCTAAAGCAGACTGCTGCCAGGACCATCAAATCTGCTCCCAAATGGACGCGTGTGTAAGTGCCTGCGCAGGGTGCTCTAACATGGTAGCAGCAGAATGCTACTGGAGAATATTCTGGAGTAAATCCATCAAGCAGCATTTGCACATGTATATGCTCCCAAATAATAGTTGAGGGCAAGTTATTTTAACTATAGTTAGTGACTCAAGGCTAAAAAGGTACAGTCCTCCTTCCCTTTACTAGCTCACAAAAAGGTTGTCCCCTCATGTCATCCTATATGTAGTTACCACTCACAAAACTGTATTGTGCCAATAAACTTCAAAGCAGAACCAGCCATTGAATTCAATATAGCAGTACTGCTTGAAAACTGATGGCAAATATGGACCACTGTCAAGATAGACACAGGTCAAGAAATAATTCTAGTCTTAGAATTACAAAGTTGATTTTAAATGCACTTTGTATGTCTAAAGGCCCCTGTCATCCTAGAAAAAATGTCAGCCTTTATGTAGGCTTTCTGATGATGGCAAAAAGAGGGACTAAATGGGATTTACTAACCTTCTAGTGGCCCTCTCTAAACAGAGGTGAATTTCATCTTACATATGGCATAATTTTCTAAAAGAAAAAAGGATTGTTGAACTTATTTCATGTTGAGGAAAAGAAAGAAGCAAGAAAAATGTAATTAATAAGCATTGTTTTTATACATTTGTTTAGATTTCATTTATCTTTGAAATTGCAGTGAAATAATTTATAATAAATGGCAATAAAGGGAGAAAGAAGTTAACGGTGGACTCCCTCTGCAATGTAATGTGACCTGTACATACAGCATTAATGTCAGATTAAACTATAAAAATTATTTATATGCATTCCTCAA